AAAAAAAAAAAAAAGATAGAAATGTGAAGAACTATTGCTATAAAGACATGTGGTGTGTAATATGCCCATTATGAGTGAAGATGAATAACAGTAGGGTAGCAACTCCAAGTGTATATATACATGGTCGTTTATTTAAAAGTATAGAGCAATTCATACGCTATCAGAGCTATTATATATAATCAATAAGCGCTCATTTAGATCTTATCAAATTTAAAATTAGTTTATGACAGCTTGACTTCAAGATTGAACGAGTAACACTGTGATTCTTTTTTACCGTTTGGCACGTTATTAGTATTGACCACATTTAGGAGGTTAAGTAGACTGTTCTTAAATAGAGTGATGCCCATATGATTATGTATTATTACTCTGAATTCATCTTTTATATATATATATATATATATATATATGCCTTTTCGAAAGAGAGGGAGAGACGTCTTCAGGTACACCTGACTTTTATTGAATATGCACAACAAGAATTACTTGTAAAGAAATTATCATGAAATTTCTACCTTTATCAGCAGCATCCTTTAATTAAAATGCTGGGAGATGAACTATTAATCATTTTTAGACATAGTCTTTAATTTTAGTTTAACATATCAAAAGAAAATCATTTTTGAACGTATTCCTTTTTCGAGGTTTGCGGAGTCTTTTATTTCGGAAACTGAAAAAGCGTGACTTTTTGGACACAATTTTAACTATCAAAAAATTTTTCTTACTGTTGACCTTTCTCTTTTTCCATCAGTCCAGACAGTACCAACATGGCTGCTTAGTAAGTAGCTCTTTCATTTCACTAAACCAACCCTCTCTTCTTCTCTTCAACAGTGCATAGACAGCAGTAGTATACACAAATATACTGCTTAAAAAAGCGACTGTCTATACAAGACATTAGAGAGAGTGGTGTGGGTGGCTTAGACAGACATTGTATACTGACATCTCATTTAGCACCGTCCCTACTGCCAACGATGTTCTCGTTCCTGAAACCCTCTTGAAGAAGAACAAGGCTAACGCCAAGGCTGCCGAAGCTGCTGCTGCCAAGAAGGCTGAGCTCCGCAAGGCAAGTTAATTAAATGTGTGTCTATATGCGTGTATGCATTAGTGTGATGACAAAAGGTATACACCTTGGGACTAGTCTTGCACGACGATGAAGTCACCATAATTAACCATCTTTCGGGACTGAATAAGAGCACGCATATACACATACATGTACAGAATTGAGAAAGGAATATTAACCATGAATGACAACAATAGGCCAAGATCGCCAAGAGACGTGACATCTTCAAGCGTGCTGCCAAGTACCACGCTGAATACAAGGCTAACGAACGCAAGGAAATTGCTCTCCGTCGTCAAGCCAAGGCTACTGGTAACTACTATGTTCCTGCCCAAGAAAAGTTGGTCTTCGTTGTTCGTATCCGTGGTATCAACAACATTGCTCCCAAGCCTCGTAAGGTTCTCCAACTCTTGCGTCTCTTGCAAATCAACAACGGTGTCTTTGTCCGTTTGAACAAGGCTACCTCCGAGATGCTTCA